GAAAAGGAGTTTATTTTGGCTTACAGTTCCAGAGGGATAAGAAAGAGTCCATATTTTCCCAAAAGCCTTGCCTATGTCTATATCTTGAAGTGTTTTCCTCTAGTAGTTGCAACATTTTGGGTTTTATATTAGATCTTTGATCCATTTTGAATGAATGTTTGAGCAGAGTGAGAGATCTGGACCTTATTTCACCCTTGTACATGTGGATTTCCAGTTTTCCCAGCACCTTTTGTGGAAGAGGTTTTATTTCCCAATCTATGTTTTTGACACTTTTGTAAAAAAATAGATGACTGTTGCACTGTTGTCCAGCTCTGGGTTCTCTATTCAATTCCATTGATCTGTGCACCTGATTTTGTGCCAATACCATGTTGTCTTTGTCACTAGGGCTCTGTAGTGTAATTCTTGAGGTCAGTTCTCTTTTTGCTTATGATTGGTTTAGCTATTCAGAGTCTTTTGTGCTTCCATATGAATCATAGCTAATAGGAAATCAACTTTCAGAAAAAACAAACTCATTTTAAAACTTGTACACTAACCAGAAATGGAACCAGTAGTTCTGAATGTTGACATTGGACTAAGAGATTTGTCAAGAGAATGAGGTCAAAGCACAACTATTATCCACTCTCTGATTCTGATCTTGAGCCTTGTTTCAGAAAGTTAGGACCTTTAGAGACAGTTTGAGGCTTTAGGTTTAACTGTGAGATGCTGAGCATCTTCTGTACCTGTGGGCTAACTATGGAGAAATGTTTATTCTGGTTCTTGGTTCATTTTTAAGTAAAATTGTTAGTTTTATCTAAAGCTGTTCAGTTATTCAGTTGTGCGAGTTCCAAATATGTTTCAGAGATTAACCCTTTATCCATGTGTAACTTCCAAATATATTATTTAATTTGTGGTTGTGTTTCACTCTATTGTTTACTTTGCTGTGCAGAAGCTTTTTAGCTTGATGTTGCCCCACTTAGCTATTTTTCCTTGGTTCCTTGTAATTTAGGTCTCATATCCTTGAATTAATTGTCCAGACTAATGCCATGAATATTTCCTTTGTCCTTCTTTCTTTCTGCCTTCTTCCTTCTTCCCTCCCTCCCTCCCTCCTTCCCTCCTTCCTTCTTCCCTCCCTCCCTCCCTTCCTTCCTTCCTTTCTTCCTTCCTTCCTTCCTTTTTTCTTCCTCCCTTCCTCTCTTTTTTTGAAACAGGCTCTCACTATGTAGCCTTGGATGGCATGGAACTCACTATGTGGATCAGTCTGGGCTTGAACTCACAGAGATCCCCCTGCCTCTGCCTCTGAGTGCTAGGATTAAAGGCATGAGCCACCATATTAAGCTCTTTTATGTTTTCTTGTAGGCATTAAAACAATTTTAAATTGAATTTATGTATATTTCATACAGAACACCTTAATCATCTTTATACCTACTTCCCCATTGGCACCCTCCCATAATGCACCCCCCCACTGGATCTCATACATTCCGTCTTTGATGCTAAGGCCTATCAAGTTAGTGTCCCCAAACATTCCTCAGTGCAAATTCATCCACTGAGGTCTAGTCAACCTATCTAGAGTCTCTCCCTTTAAGAAGATCAGTTGTTTCTCACCCAGCAGTAATCAGCTGTCAGTAGTTCTTCAGCTAACATTGGGGCCTGCTGCCCATTTCCACAGTTCTATGCTGGGTTTTTGTCTGTTTGGGTTTGCATGGGTCTTGTGCATGCTGACACCATTGCTGTAGGTTCATATGAGCAAGGTCTCAGGAGGCTGTAAGAATCTATTTTGGTATGGTCATGTGCCTCCTTCTTTGACTTAGAATCTTTCTTCCCACTCTTCCACAGTGGTCCCTGATCTCTGGGTAGGTGAAGCAACTCTCATCAATGAAGCTCCCTCATGCAGCAGAGGTCCATGAACAGAAAAGGACACAGATGGTGTGCTGGATAGCTTTAGTGTCAACTTGACACATCTGGGTTGAGGGAGTCTCAATTGGGGAATTACCTTCATTGGACTGGCCTGTGGCCATGTCCATGGGGGACCTTCTTGATTGTTGAGTGATGTGGGAGGACCCAGCCCACTGTGGGTGGTGCCCCCCCGGGGCGGGTGTCCCTGTTTTGCAAAAGCAAGCAGGCTGAGCGGGGCCCGGGGGAAAAAGCCAGTAAGCAACATTCCTCCATGGTCTGTGCTCCAGCTCCTGCCTCCAGGTTCCTGCCCTGAGTTCCTACCTTGGGCTTCCTGATGAACTGTGACCCAGATGTAAGCTGAATAAACCCTTTCCTCCCCAAGTTGGTATTGGTCAGAGTGTTTTGCCACAGCAATGGAGAAACAAACTAGGACAGATGGCCAAAGCAAAGAGAACAAGAGTCTGCAGAGTGTGAGTCCTTGGACAGGTCTTTTGTAGGAATTTTATAATTTTGGATCTTATGTTTAAGCCTTTAATCCATTTTTTAAAGATTTTTTATTTTTATTTATATGTGTGTTTGTATCTTTGTGTATATGTACACATGTGTGGGTACCTGCAGAGACCAGAATAGGGCATCAGATTCCCTGGAGCTAGAGTTACAGGTGGTTGTAAGCTACCAACATGAGTGCTGGGAATCAAACTTGGGTCCAATGGAAGAGCAGCAAGTGCTCTTAACCACAGAACTATTTTTCTAGCCCCTAGTCTTTAATCCATTTTGAGTTGAATTTGTGTGTGTGTGTGTGCGTGTGTGTGTGTGTGTGTACAGGTACATGTGTATGTGTATATGCATAGGGAAGCCAGAGGTCAACCTCAAGTGTCATTTCTTAGCAGCTCCCATGTTGGTTTTCTAATTAATTAGTTACTTGATTAATTAATATTTGAGACAGTATCTCACTATATAGCCCTGGCTGGCCTGAAAGTCACTATGTAGACCATATGGGCCTCAAACTTACAGAGATTTATCTGTCTTTGCCTCCCTAGTACTGAAAGTAAAGGCATGTATCATCACACCTGGCTTTGCCACCTTTTTTTTTCTATTTTTAAAAATTGCATTTTCGTGCATTTCATAAAATAAATCTTGATCATATTTAGACCCCTCCCCATCTGTACCTCCCCGTATTCCCCCCTGCTAGATTTCTTGCATTATGTTATATATGTTAAGTCCTATCCAGTCTAGTTTGTGTCCCTAGATGTCCCTCAGTGTAAGTTCATCCTTTGGAACCTGGTCAACCTATCTAGTATTGCTCCTTTCAGGAACACCAACTCCAGCTGGAGAGATGGCTCAGTGGTTAAAAACACTGACTGTTCTTGCAGAAGACCCGAGTTCGAATCCCAGCACCTATATGGTAGCTAACAACTGTCTGTAACTCCAGTTCCAGGGGATCTGACAATCTCTTCTGTCTTCCTTGGGCATTGCATGACATGGGTGCACTTACCCACATGCAGGCATACATGCATACACATAAAATAAAAATAAATAAATAAAATATTTTAAAAAAGAACACCAATTCTCCCTTACCCAGTGGTGATCAGTTGCCAATAGTTCTTCAGCTAAAGTTGGGACTTCTTACCCATTTCTCCACTTCTATGCTGGATTTTTGTCTGTTTTGCATTTGCTTGGGTCTTGTGCATGCTGTCACTATTGCTGTAAGTTCATATGAGCAAGTTCCCAGCTGCCTGTGGTCATCTATTAACCCTGGCTCTTACTGTCTTTCTGTCCCTCTTCCACAATGGTCCCTGAGCCCTGGATGGCAGAGGTTTAATGCAGGAGTCCTATCCAGGGGCATGTACTCTGTAGTCTATTATTCTCTACATTCTGGCCAATTGTGGCTTTCTGTATTAATCATTATCTGTTGCATGAGGAAGCTTTGCTGGTGAGAGTTGAGAGATGCCTTAATATTCTCTCTATCACCAGTTCTGCTATGTTCCCTGAACCTTAGGTATAGAGATTGCATTGTAGATGTGTCCCTTAAGACATCTCACAGACACTTATTCTCTGTATTTGACCAGTTTTGAAGCTCTGTAATAGTCTCTATCTGTTGCAAAAAGAAGCTTCTTTGATTACTGGTGAGAGGTATACTTGTCTGTAAATACAATGATACATATTTAGCATACAGTAAGAAATTATATTTGTCTAGGGATGTGACAGATGTAGGTTTTTCTCTAGGATCTGCAACCTCTCCAGTCATGTGTATTTGGCTATATTTACAGTTCCACACATGAATTCCCTCCCATTCAGCAGGCTTTAAATTCAGTTAGATAGCTGTTGATTACACCCAAGATAAAAGTGCCACTACTGCACCAATGGAGATAGGTTGCTGTGCTGGTCATTGTTGTGGTTATTAGGCTTCACAGCTGAGGTTGGACCATTGGTTACCTTTCCTCCCTTAGCGGCTTGTATAGTGTCCTCTGATACTATGAGAGCTGGTCTTCAGGAAGGAGGCCTCCAGGTCAGTTTCTAGCTTCAGTGCTCCAAGTTCTGTGTCTGAAGTATGTCCTGTCTTTAGCAATAGGGTCTTACCTTCAAGTTCTGGGAGGCCATCAAGGGCTGTGGCAATAGCTTGTGTTACTTTGGGAGTCTCTTGACTACCTTGACCAACAACTCAGAGAGTTTTCCTGTCTGTTACTGTGTTTCTTGTTATATAACCTTCAGCTATGCACGTGTGTGTGTGTGTGTGTGTGTGTGTGTGTGCGTGTGTGTGTATGTCTGTGTCTGTGTGTCTGTGTTTCTCAGGTTTTTAGTGGGTTTTTGAACCAATACATTTCCCTCTGGTTTTTCACACCACCTAAGCATTATCTCTCCACTCTCTCCATCCTATATAACCTTCCCTCCACCCTCTCCATTTAACATGCATTTCCCCCATTTCCCTTTGATAACACTGTTCTCCTATTGTCTTCCTCTCTTGGGCTCCTTCTTCCCCTTTAATCCCATGGTTCCTTTCCATTTTCCTGATTTTCAGGATATATACTCACATATAAGGATTTGCAGCTAAGATCCACAAATGAGAACGTATGTTATTTGTTTTTCTTTTTTATACTCTTTTTAAAGTATATATTTTTCTTTTTTTTAAGGGGAGAGCACAAATGCAGTCCTCCACTACCACAAATTATGCAGTTGAGTTTCCTGCATTTGGGGAAATTGCAGGGGTCAGCACATTCCAAGTGCAATGGATGAGCCTCGCCCTGGGAAAACCACCTTCCAGATATGGTGTCTCCCTGCCAGGTAAGTATTCTTTTAAAAATATTTTATTATTTTTATTTTGTGTGTATGAGTGTATTGCATGCATACATGTAAGGACACCTGTGTCATGCAATGACCAAGGAGGTCAGAAGGCCTTGGATTCCTTAGAACTGGAGTTATGGAGTGGGGGTGTGGGTGCTGGAATCGAACCTGGGTCCTCTGCAAGAGCAGCCAGTGCTCTTAACCTCTGAGCCATCTCTCCAGGCTCCTCATTGATTGTTTTTCTGAGTCTGTGTTCCTTAGTACAACACTTTCTGGTTCCATCTATTTACCCACAAATTTCATGATTTCATTTTTTCTTTACCATTGAGTAGAACTCCATTGTGTAAATGCACCACATTTTCATTATCCACTCATCAGTTGAGGGAGATTTAAGTTGTTTCCATTTCTTAGGTGTTGTGAAGAGAGCATCAGCAAACAGATGAGCAAGTATCTGCAGTAGCTTCTTGACTCCTCTGGTTATATGCCAAGGAGTGGTATAAACGGATCATATGGTAGGTTTATTTTTAGTTTTAAAGAGTTCTCCACACTGCTTTCCACAGTAGTTGCAAGAGTTTGTGACCTCACCAGCAGTGAATGAGAATTCCCCTTTCCCCACATTCTTGCAGGAGTTGGTGTCATTTGTTCTCTTGATATTAGCCATTCTGACTGGGGTAAGATGAAATCTTAAAGTGGATTTGATTTGCATTTCCCTAAATACTAAGGAGGCTGAACACTTTTAAACGTGTTTCTTAGCCACTTTAATTTCTTCTTTTGAGAACTCTCTGTTCAGAGCCATTACCACCCCCCTTTGTCTTTTTTTTTTTTTGGAGACAAGGTCTTCACCTGTAGCCCCAGTGGGCTTGGAACTCACTAGGGAGACTAGGATGGCCTCCATCTCACAGAGCTCCACCTGCCTCTGTCTCCAGAGTGCTGGGATTAAAGGTGTACACCACCACACCCAGCTCCCATGCCGAGCACCCACTTTTTAATTGGGTAATTTGTTTTCTTCATTCTTTGTTTTTTGAATTCTTCATGTATTCTGGCTATTAATTCTCTGTTAGATGCATAGCTGGTGAAGATTTTCTCCCATTCTCTGGGTTTCCTTCTCACTTGGTGTGTTGTTTCCTTTGCTGTACAGAAGCCTTTTTGTTTAATTAGGTCCCACTTACCTATTGTTGACCTTAATTCCGGAGCAACTAATGTCCAATTTAGAAAGCCCTTTCCTTGGACATCAATTGGTCAGGAAACAAGGTCAAGAATCAACAAATGGGACCTCATTAAACAAAAAGCTTCTGTAAATCAAAGGAGGCAATCAGGGAAGTGAAGAGAAAACTCACAGAATGGGAGAAAATCTTCACCAGCGACACATCTGACAAAGGTTTACTATCCAGAATACATAACAAACTCAAAAAACAGAGACTCAAGACAAGAAGTAACCCAATTAAAAGAGAGAAAACTCAGAATGGGAGAAAATCTTCACCAGCGACACATCTGACAAAGGTTTACTATCCAGAATACATAACAAACTCAAAAAACAGAGACTCTAGACAAGAAGTAACCCAATTAAAAGATGGGCTAAGGAGTTGAACA